TGCATAAAGTGACAATCAGGGACACTCTGGTGGGTCTAGGATGGATCTGAAATACAGCAGAAGGAGGATTAAACCTACAGGGCCCTCTCCACATGGTCTCATTTTGTGTTTATGGACTGAGGTTATTCTCCCAACCACAAACCCAGTGCAGTGCAGTGGTAGCAGCAGGATTTCTTCACAACCCTTTAGCTCCGGCCCAGGGATGTTTTAGTGAGAAAGACAGAAGGTCCCAGCAGAAGAAATATTTGTACCAGAAATGGTGCAAATTAAGACATAATCATTAGGAAAGAAGGCAAATAAAGTTTGTGTCCCACTTAACAGCAATACTCACAGTATTTCTCTCAGAGTTCCACACCAAGTCTTTGAAAGCCAGCTGGGATGGAGTAAGCTTAGGTTGCAAATAGTAACTTGCTCGAAACTCTTCACCTACAACAACAGTAAACTTAAAAACTCTGCATTTTTCAAATGGTCTTTATTGTGCCAGAAAGAACACCCAAAATGCATGTCCAGTTGACTATTTGATTAAACAAAACGATGGAATTACCTGCTATGAGCACTGTCTACTATTTCTGAGCATTCTGAAGTGTTTCATCTCAAAAGCACAATAACTTAATTTTAAAAAGAGATTAAAGAGCTTTAAACAGAAAGACTAACAGAACATGAAATATCAATATATTTGGTGAAGAGACTAGAAAAGACCTTTGAGAAAAAGGGAAGATTAAAACAAAACAAAACAAAAAAATCATCATTTCCTGCAAAGTCAACAGGAATGAAGAAATTCTTTGAAATCATGAGGAAATTTGTCAGGATTTCACATTGATAAATTAAAATTTAAGGGAAAAAATATTTTATACACAATTTGATGAGTCAAATATAGCAGTTAGCCAATTAATTAAAATTAAGCAGTATGCATAGGGGTCCAACAGGCTGGTGACCAGTGTGATAAAGCCACCACAGACACTTGAGAATCTTGCCAGGCAAAATTCCTACCTTCTTCCAAGAGCTGGAAAAGCATGGATGGGCGGAACCCTGCAGGAACTGCTCCTGTGGTGGTCAGTACCTTCAAAGTGTCATTCTAGTAAAAACAAAATAAAAAAGATAATACTGTTCCTGTTGTTTAACAGCAAATTTAACCCTAATTTACAGCTCTGTTTAGAACCAGAAACTTGAGACACCAGTCACCTCTTCTGAAGCATTTTTGTGGCATTTCTTGCTACCAAAAACTCCCAAAACACAGATGTTCATTAAGAATAATGGTTTTTGATATGAGACACAGTATTTGGGAAAAGGCACAGCTTGTTTACAAAATAATGAAGACTATGGCAGGCGAAGCTACATTCTAAGGGGCGCCTACCTCTATGATAGCTCGGACAGCACTCCAGTGGGAATCTGTTCTGGAAGAAAATAGAGGGATTTATAGTAAATCCTCACAAGAACAAAAACTTAACCACCAAATTTTGCTCTGTTTCCAAATAGCAGCAGCTTCACAACCATACCTGAGACAATCCATTTACCTTTTTTGAATTTCAGTTACATCTGCTGTTTCATCCACCACTTCTGTGTGTTCTTCTGACTCCTCCTGGTTTTCTTCCTCTTCCTTAGGAACCTGGAATTCATATTTAAAATGGCAAAAGGCTTGATTTCTTCCTAGTTTTGTTCTTAAAAATGCCTTCTCCAACCACAGCCCATATTAATATAATTTTAAAATAAATTAAGTAAGTTTATAAGAGGAGATTTTCTCTCTGTGATGCAGAAAATTGTCACACGTTTACACAGACTCCCATTTCAGATAAATTATTAAAACCCCAAATCAATCCACAGTAGCTTGAAGTATTTGGAGTTGACCTTTAAGTGACAAAGATTCCGACTTTGATATTCAAGAAACTTCTCTGCCACAACTTCACAAGGTATAGAAATGCTGCTTTTGATGGATATCTCCAGTACCATGGACAAAAACACAGTTATTTCCAAATAACTGGCTTTATTTCCAAACACAAAACTGCATTGCAACCCATTTTGTGCAGATATATGATCATTAATCTATATAAAAGAGCAGAGGTGAGATTAGGACAGAGATTGCAGCACACCAACCACAAGGTATGTCCTGGGAACGAGGCCTCTCTCTCCCTTGGAATTTTCAGCTACCCACCAGCCATCTGCCTTCTTGTCGTGTATGAGCAGGATTTCACCTTTCTTTGCCATTGGAGGATGAGACAGAGACAAAAAAATAAGCAAATATTTAAATTTTAAAAAGACTTAACTCCAATTTCTCCCCAAATCCCACAGCTGGCTGAATCCCAAAAGTATAGGATTTCATTATAGTTTCTGCTTACCTCAGAGTGATCTGCAGTAAAAACCCTTTAGAGAGAGATATTTACCACAAATGTGAGATCCCCTTCCTGCTGGGCATCAAAGTTCCCGACAGCAACACATTCTCTAACATTTGGATCATCCAACAACTTCTCCTCATCTTCTTCTTCAGTGTCTTCTTCATCACTTTCTTCATCTTCACTCGCCTCTTCTTCTTCATTTCCCTCTTCTGCATGAGGGCCTTTCTGGTGTTCCTCACCCCTACCCAAAACAAATCAAACTATTTTTTAGTATGATTCCCACCAAACTTTTTGAAATGTTGTCAAGCCTCTGCAAGGACATTATTCAGATACAGCATTTCCATTCCTTTGTTTTGCTCTCTGTCCTGAAGAAACTCCTCCAAACCTTATATTGCAGCCATTATCCAGCACCCTGAGAAAATCCTAGCAAGTCATAAATTACTTCTCTCCTTCTTTTTTTCACCCTTCTGTTATTTTTCAGCTAATTAAGGGAGTGAGATAATGGTTTTTCAAGGTCCATTCCAGCCATCCTTTAAAAAACCAGTTGCATTTGTATCTTTAAGCTACTCACCCTGGATAATTCTTTGTCACACTATCCTGATCCAAGGCAAGAAGGAGTTTCTGCAGCTGCTGGGAGAGTCTTAGCAACAGCTTTTCTTCCTCTTCCTTCCTCTGGCTGTAATTCCCCACTGGCGCAGGCTCGTCAGCCTGACAGAGAACCCAACAAATGCCCCAAAGAATCAAAGTTCCCCAATAAATTGCTCAAATAATCAAAGTTACTCTATAAAATAAGTTTTCCAGGCATGCCTTACAAGTTTTTCCCTTCCTGGGCTACTGTCACTCCCGCTTTAGTGACAATTTTCCTACCCTTTCACTCTGCCAAGGTGAAATTCTCTATTAGGTTTTCACCTGGGACTTGGACAAAATAAAGCATTAAAATGAGTTTTAAATTATATAAATGGATATAAAAAATATAAATTGGAGAGATGACAAGCAGAGATTGTGCAGTGCTGGGCACTGCTCTTTTCCTGAGGCATCTAAAATGGAACACTGATTTTCTTTAAACACTTTCCATAGTGAATTTTGGAGAAAACCACAGATTAATCACCATACTTACTTTTTTCAAACCACGGAGAGTGTTTGTATTCTCCTCCACCACTTCCTTGAGCTGTGTACATCTGCATTGAAAGCAAGACAAGCAGATGGTATTTTCTTAAAATTCTGACCCAAACCACACCTGCTGACTGAAAGGTATCCTTTTAGGCGCTGTGTGTTTTCTCACTCTTCAGGGTGAGAATTCCAAGCCCAAACAGCAGCATTTGACATAATCCCAAAATAGCTGGGATTGGAATGGACCTCTGGAGCTCATCCAGTCTAACCCCACTGCTCAGGCAGGATCACCCTGAGTAGGAGGTCACCAGGATCCTGAGCAGGTGACACAGGAATGCATCCAGGTGGGTTTGCGATGTCTCCAGAGAGGCAGACTGCACACCCTCCCTGGGCAGCTCTTCCAGTTCTCTGCCACCCTCATGCTGAAGTGGATCTTGTGTTTTAATTTATGGCCATTGCTCCTCCATCCTGTTGCTGGGCACCACTAGAAAGAGCCTGGCACCATCCCCTTGGCACCTGCCTTGGAGACATTGATATGGATTGGTGAGAGCCCCCCTCAGTCTTCCCTTCTCCAGAGGGCTGGGAAAGAGCCAGTCTGGAAAACAGGAGAGGGAAGGGGCAGGGAGAAAGCTGTACAATTAAGAGAGGAAAAGGCATGGAGGGAACGAACCCTGCTGAGGCGACATGAGGAGAGGGTGAGGGCAGCGCCCGGGCGGTGGGATCGAGGGATGGGGTTCGGGATGGGGGTCGGGATCCCCCTCACCTCAGCCGAAGGGCCTCGCGCTGCCCGGGGGCTGCAGCCGCGCTCTCCGCCCGCAGCGCCTCCACCTGTAAAAGGGCACGGGGCGGTCAGGGCCGGGGTGCGCCGAGACACCGGGACCGGCCCCGCTACATCCCCGGTACCTGCGCCCGCAGCTCCCGGCTCCGGCGCTGCACCCGCTGCAGCGGCCCCCTCGCCCGCCGCTCCGACATCGTCACCGGGCGACGGGACAGCCCCGGCGCCGCCGGATGACGGGCCCGGGGCGGGGCCGGCAGCGCCCCGTGCCCCGCGCCCGGCCTCGGCCCCGGCGGCGCTTATCTGGGGACAAATGATGTGATGTTTTGTGATCCCAGCCATGGAATCACAGAATAGTAGGGTTGGAAGGCACCTCTGGAGACCACCCAGTCTGATGGCAGGATCGCTAAGTTTGGGAAAGAGCTCCAAGATCCAAGACCAAGTCTTAAGGGGCTCTGGGCAGTGCTTTTTCTCCCCCACAGATTTGAGAACTCCATAATACCTCTGAAAACCGGCAGCCTGCAATGAATCCCCCAGCGCTCCTTCTCCTGGCATTCTCTAACAATGGGAAGAAGGAATTTGCTACAGCTACCTCCACAATTCCTTATCCAAAGCGCCAGGAGGAATTCTTGATCCTTTATTTCACTTGTTCATTCACCCAGGCAACGCATGAGCTCTTTCACCACTTAATTGTCCCCACGCACACCCATAATGGGACTTGCTACATGTGCCCATAAGGCACATTTTCACATTTATTCCAGAAATAAACACCTAGGAGCACCATGTGATGACTTTTGCTAGTTTATTGTGTTGGCAGCGCTTCCTGGCAAGGTCAGAGCAGCAGGCTTAGAGCTGGACAAGTGCAGACAACCCTCTGGAATATGGAAATGCGAGAATCATGGAATCGCTGAGGTTAGAAAAGATCTCCGAGATCATCGAGTGCAACCCATGACTGATCCCCACCTTGTCACCCAGCCCAGAGCACTGAGTACCACGTCCAGTTGTTCCTTGAACACCTGCAGGGACAGGGACTCCAAACCTCCCTGAGCAGTCCATTCCAGGTTTGGGATCGCTGCTTGCATATCCTCAATTCTTTGTTAAATTAGTCTCACACAGTTTGGGATCTTGCTTTGCGAAGGGCAGAAGTCCTGCCATTCCATGGATGCTGTCCTCTCTGGCAGCATTCCTATTCCACGGATTCTGTCCAGCCGGCAGACCTGCTATCCCAGGGACGCTGTCCTTCCCCAGCAGCGCTTCACCCGTTCCCAGCAGCTCAGGCAGCGCCCACCGGAGGTCCGGAGGAGGCGGAGGAGGCGGAGGAGCCCGGTGGCAGGGGCGGCCCGGCCGCGGTGCCAGCGCTCAGGCCGCTTCCAGCTTCTCCTGCGCGGCGGCGAGGCGGCGCTGGAGGTATCGCTGCCGCCAGCGCAGGAAGCGGCGGCGCGCCCGGCCCGCCTGCCAGCCCACCACCACCCCGGCGGTGAAGGCGGCCAGCAGCGCCCAGCGCACCACCCGCGGCCGCAGCGCCTCCAGCACCATCCCGGCCCCGCTCCCGAGCCCGAGCCCGACCCCGCCTCCCGCTTCCGCCGCCGCGGGGGCGGGACCGGCCCCGTTAAAGGCGGCGGGCCCGGGGAGGTGCCGCGTCCGCGCGCGCCATGGCCGAGGCGGCGGCGCAGGTAGCGGCGAGGCACCCGCAGGGCACCCGCGTCCCCTTCTCCTTCCCCCTCAGTAACTCCGCGGAGTTTGCCCGAGGCTCCTCACACGCTGTCTTGTGTCTTCCCTAGGATCTCCTGCTGGCAGCAGCGTTTGTCTCCGATGCGCAGTACAACAGGAATATTCCTTTTAAAACCTCTCCGGAGGCTGTCAGGTAAGGAGGCATGCGCCCCAACCACACCTGTGGAGAGCCAACCACCAACAGCCAGAAAAAGTCGGGAATGCTAAGAGGGGTGGATGGGTGGGGTGCCAAAAATTTGGCTTAAGCTGAAATGCTTAAAAATGGGGCTCAGTGCATCTGTTTGTTGAGGATGGGAAATGACATAAAGTTGTGGTTTGCTGGAGGGGAGAAAATAAAACTAAGATAAAGTCTTCCAAGCCTCTGTGGGAATGAAGAGTGGGAGGCTTGGTCAGCCCTCAGCTGTGTGGAAGGTGCTGGAGCGGAAGAACCAAGTTAAATATTTTTTGTTTACTATAATAAATATTCTGTTATTTAATCCTACTCTGAAAGACAGTATAGTATCTATCAGCTCTGAGATTGATTTGGAAACAAATTACCAAATTCCTTGCTGGCAAAAATGTTTGTTTGGGACAGCAAGTGTTGTTCTTCCAGGCACAGTTGGTGATGCCCTGGGGATGTGCCCTGTAGCCTTTATTTATGGTGCCTGTGCCTTCTTCCTCCAGGCTTTATCACCTCTATAACCACTGGATGATGCGAACAGCCACCTACTTCTTCATCTTCCTCAACCTCTCCCTTGCCCTTTTTGAGGAACCTGCTGTGTATCCGCTCCCCTTCCTGGTGAGTTTGTGGTGTAGGAGCAGCAAATGCAGGTGCTGGAGCCAGCAAGGACTTCTTGCTTCAACGTTGTTGTCAGAGGTGCCAAGAGACAGTGGATGGTGATGTTTTTGCAGATATCTTTGATCCTCTGCTCTGGTGGGACACTACCTGGAATCCTGCATATAGCTCTAGGTCAGGACCAGCGCAGGAAGGACATGGAAAGTTAGAGTGAGTCTAGAGGAGGTGACCAAGTTGGTCAGAGGGATGGAACAGGTCTGCTGTGAGGAAAAGCTGATGGAATTGGGGTTGTTCAGCCTGGAGAAGCTCCAGAGTGACCTAATTGGCTCTTCCAGTACTTAAAACGGCCAACAAGAAAGATGGAGAAAGACTATTTCCAAGGGTCTGGAGTGCCAGGACAAGGGGGAATGGCTTCCCACTGCAAGAGGGCAGGATTAGAGGGGATAATGGAAAGACATTGTCCCTTGTGAGGGTGGTGAATCCCTGGCACAGGTTTGCCAGAGAGCCTGTGACTGCCAGGGATCCTTGGAAGTGTTCCAGGCCAGGCTGGACAGGGCTTGGAGCAACTGGGGTTATGGGAAAGTTGTCCCTGCCCATGGCATGGGGTGGAATGGGATCATCTTTATGGTACCCTTCAACCCAAATGATTCTGTGATCTGTTTGATTCTGTGATCTGTTTGAAATAAGTACAAAAAAGGCACAGGAGCTGGCAGGGACTGTAGGAGCCATTGTGACCCCCAGGGATGGCCCATGTGACTGTGGTCGAAGTCATGTTGATGTTCTCCATCTCAGAGACCAGTTCCAGCCTTCTTTGGGACTCAAGTCCAGTCCTCATGTGTGGAATTAGAAGCCTAGTTTTACTTTAGGCCCGACTTTTCTGCAACCTTTTTCTTTGTCCTGCACCAGTGTGATTGTGAAAGATGTACTCCCTGAATCCTAAGCAAACACAGACTTGCTGGCTTTAACCTGTCTGTGGCAGGGAATTCTGCAAAAGAAAGCCTGAAAATATTGCTCTGCCTGTTTTTTATTATGCAAAAAGGAATATTGCTGCTCCTGGTTGTGCTGGCTGAGCCCCGCTCTCTCTGCAGGCCACGTCAGTGCGGAAGGTGTTGTGCCTTCTGGTGTTCCTCGGCCGACTGACACACTTTGCCAAAGTCACCTTGCACAACGTCTTCTGGAAGGACACCAAGAACATCTGCATCATGGTGGCAATCCTGGTGAGTTGGGCCCAGGGGAGGTGTTTTTTTTCCCCCTCATGTTATTTTCCTGGGATCCCAGACCTGGCATACATGAGCCATGGCCAAACCAACCAGCTCTCACAAACCTGTTGTGTGTGCACCTCTCCTGTATCAACAAACACTTCACTATCTAGGCACATTCCAGTGTTACTTCTGGGAGCTTTCCTTCTTTCTCCTACAGTTATCCCTGACAGACCTGGCCGTGTATGGGGTCCTCAGGCTGTATGGTGTGAGGAGCATCCGATGGTCAAGGATTGTGAGGCCCATCTTCCTCATCAACTTTGCAGAGAGTCGCCAGGTAAAGAAAAGGTCCAATGGGATGTCCAGGGTCCTGTTTTTTCACACAGCCTGCTGCTTTCCACAATCCCAGGGATGTAGCAGGAAAGTTTTATGGCAGAATTTAGGGTCCTGTGAGAGAAGGTTTGTTTCAGAAGTGGCCTGAAGCAATAATTTGAGGTGCACAAAAGGGTGGATTCACACAGTACCAGAGAAAAAACCCCCGTGTTTCTCCATGAGTCAGGGACCAGGTTACTGATTTCTGGAAGTCTCCTGGGTAAACAAGTGTCACAGTGTTCTCAAACCTGTAGTCCAGATTTGGACTCTGATTCCTCTCAGCGTGGAGAGATCTTTGTCCTGCTGCCCAAGACTGGTCTGGTCCTGACTTACAAATGAATAAACTGTGATATGGAGGCCTGGGGGAGGGAGCAGCTCAACATCTGGGCTCAGAGCCTGTGCTTTGTGGCCTGGAGTGATGGATTTCTGTCCCTGACTGGTTCCCTGCAGCAAGAACACCTCAGGAGTGCCCTGGGACCCTCTGTCCCTTGGCTCCTGAGTTCACTGTGATGTGCAGGTGGGGCCTTTCCTTCTAGGATCCCCCCTGAAGAACAAGGAGGAAAGGCCTGGGACTCTCACACCCCAGTTATAGGGGTTTGATCCAGGTGGGATGGTGAGGGAAAAAAGGGGTGCCACATTGCCTCTGAACGCTTCCCTTGTCCCTGGCAGATCCGGAGGGCTTTCCGCAGCATCCGCAACACGCTGCCAGAGATCACCTACGTCTTCCTGCTCTTCATGTTCAGCCTCCTCATGTTCTCCCTCATGGCCTTGAAGCTGTTTGGAGAGAGGTGTGGATACTTCCTTTGCTCCTGGATACTCTAGGCAGACTCCAAACAATTCCTAGGGAATACAAGCGCTGCTCCTGTTGCAGGACATGTGATCCCAGTGCTTAACTTCAGGCTCTCCTCTTCCTCCTAGGAATCTCCAGACAGCAGAAGGCTTGCCCTACTTCAGAAACTACCTGGAGATTGTGTTTGACCTCTATGTGCTGGTGACGACTGCAAACAGCCCAGATGTCATGTATGCTGTCATGTGTAGATGATCAGATCTCTTCCTCTCACAGTGTTCTCGGGGCTCTCTGTGCAGCCTCTAATTTGCACAGCAGAGTTAAAATTCTGTGGATGTTGGGCTTTTCATCCCTATGTCTTCTGGGTTCCCATTGTAGTTTGTGCTGGGACGGTGCTGTCAGGAGTAGGACAGGGAGGAAGGGCTCGGTCATCTATGTGCTGGAAATATCTTGAGTAAAACTGTGATGGTACAGCGAGCCTGGGAATTTAAACTGAGAAATAAAATGCAGCTCTTCCTAGAGCAAGTGGAAAGGCAGATCTGAGTGCAGCAAGGCTCTGAGGCCAAAAAATAGCATATGGCTGAGGCATTGCCTCATGTCTGCTCTTAAATTTGGCTGTACTGGCAGAGATTTCATCTCTGTGCTGTCTTTGCACACCCTCAGTCAGGGCCTGACAAACCAGGATGAAAACCCAGCAGAGAAGTGTTCTCTAACTAAACTAATGCAGTTTTTAGCTTTTATTTGACACATTTGATCTGGCAGTCCAAAACAGCGCTTGGAAATCCATGTGGCAGTCTGTTTTCTCATGGACTCACTTTTGTCAGTCTGGCAAGCAGCAGTCCCTCTCCCCTTCTCTAGGATGCCAGCGTTTGACTTCAGCTCCTGGTACGCCCTGTTCTTCATTGCCTTCGTCATTGTCAACACTTACATCTTCATGTCTCTCTTCCTGGCTGTGGTCTACAACAACTACAAGAAACATCTGAAGGTAATGCCTGGAGGGGCTTGTGACCAGTGGCTTCCTGCTGTTCTCTGTCAGGAACCTCTGTCTTTCTCTTGGAAAGCTTTGAGAAGGGGAAACAGCTTCTTGCCTTTGGTGTTCTGCAAACATCAAGCACAGATCCACTTTTCATATCATGGGGTTGTTGGGAGTTCTGCTCTTGGCATTGAATTAAATGTTCTATGGTGTTTCCCACAGATACGGAGCACATTCTGCATTATCTTGGAGGCTTAGTTGTAGCTCAGGAATGCTGTCTCCATGCAGGGAACTGTTTTTGCACAGCATCTTTGCATGTGCTCTTAGAGCAAGGGAACTCGAAATGGGAGGTCTGAGTAAATGAGAATTTTTGTTCTACCCAAACTGGGTAGGGGCAGTTTGGGACTTGTGATCAAAGGAGGAGAGCTGAGAATTCCTGGGTGATCCCATGAGGGGGTTGGATCTTTCTCAGGAAGCAGAGTGCTGGATGTCCCTCTGCTCACAGTCATGTGCAGAAAAGGATCCTCACCCCTGCTCTCAGCAGGATTCACTTGTGGATGGGGAAGCATGTGTGGACACATCCTCTTTGCTTCTGTGGCCATTCAGATCCCGTGATCTTTGTCACCTCCTTCCTGTCTGACACTACCCTTTGTCTTTCCTTCCGGTTTTTCAGTGTTGTCCCAGCATCCAGCAATCTGT